TTCTTTGTCACACTATTGAGTTTTTTATAGTCTACGCAAAATCTTGTTGCGCCGTCTTTTTTGGTTACTAACACTACTGGGCTTGCCCATGGAGAGTGGCATGGCCTGATGATGCCGTATTCCAACATTTCCTTTATCTGTTCGTCTATCTTTTCTCTTTCATGTTGTGATACCTTGTAAGGACGTCTTTTTACTGGTCTACCTTCTGGCTCTATTTCTATTCTGTGCTCAGTCAAGTTTGTTTTGCCCATGTTTCTCGGAGATTTGGCAAATACGTCAATATATGCATCCAGAAGGTTTTGCAATTTCCTTTTTGTTTTATGGTCCCCTATGTTTTCCAAGTGATGATCTTCTCTTGTTACCACTTCTTTTTCAATATTTAAAATGTTGCACGGTTTCTCTATGGTCTCCTGATCTTCCTCTAAAAAGGCAATTGTCGTGCCCCTGCGTAGACTTGTTTGACGACTTGATTTGACTACTATGAATAATGATTCGCCTTCAGAGTATATATGTGATTCTATAGCTAGTGCTTTTCTGGCAAGCATAGTGGAATTATAGATACAGCGGTATGTGATGTTTTCTCTGGTGTTTTTTGTTGGACTTAGTTCTATTATCCTTGATTCTTGTGTGGCCCAGGAGTGGTCCTCCTTTACACCGAGTTTCGCGTAGCTTGGGTGCTCATCAACCGTAATGTTACACAATATATTTTCTGGTACGAGCGTAGTCTTTCTGTTCTTGTGTATCCAGATTTTTATGTCTGTGCCCCTAAATACATTAGTGATGACCTGTTTCATCGATTGCCAAGTTTTACCTTTTAACCCCCATCCTTTTCGTTGTATGCTTATTGACTTGATTCTCCTTTCTTGTGCGTAGCTTTTTGTTTTTTGCCAACATCTGTATAGACTTCTTAATGCTGGGGTTTCTCTTGTAAATCTGATACACTGGAACAGGGCTGTGTTATCACCTTGTTTTTCTGTCGTTACTTGTCCTACTTTTCCTGGTGCTTTATTCAGATTTGGGAACATTTCTCTGATTTTGTCGCCTAATCCTCTTGTTTCCATATGTCTGTTTACCCCAAAAACGTGTAATGTGTTATTGATTTGTCCCGTTGTGTCTTCAATCCTATTGTTAATTTCTTCCAGTGTTATTTTTGATTTATTTTTCCTGAATCGTCCAAACTTGTTGCTCGGTGTTCGTTTTTGGCTTAAGTCTTTTATGGCTATACCTGATGGTGTTTCTTTTTTTCTGACTTTTGTTTGATTTAGTGGCATTGTTAGTCCTTTTAATATGATATTGCTTCGGCTTAAACGAACGAGAATGGCCCGGTTCGTTTTCATAAATTCCATTCCCAGAATAATCGGGTATGGGACTCCATTGATTGCACTTATTTTGCATATGAAAGTTTTGCCTGCTATCTGTATTCGCTCTGTTGTTTCTCCTAGTACCGGTATTCTATGTCCCCCTGCTGTTATTAATATCACCTTTGAGTTTGTTAAACCGTTTTTTCTAATCAAGTCTGCATTAATTATGTTATTTTGGGAGCCAGTGTCTATAATTGCCATTTGCTTTGTATTGTTTATCATAACGTTTAAAAAAGGTACGCCAGTGTTGCTGTGCCCTTCGGTTAGGATAGCTGGGGTTTCAAATTTCGCCATCCTTATGCGTTTGGGTATCTTTGTCTGCAGGTGGCTGCAAAGTGGCCATATTTCCCACAGTTGTAACACTTTTGGCTGTTTTTGGCATTTCTCGGAGGCTGACTGCTTTGTCTAAATTGATTTCTATGATTATAGCTGTCGTTTGGTTTATTTGTCGGCGAGGTGGTGTTTTGCGTTGTCCCCCTGTTCTGCCATCCTCTTGTATTGTTCGAATTTTGATTCCTATATCTGTTATCTTGGTGCCCTGACCCATATCCATTATTATGCTGCGTTGGTCGAGCTGAGGAATAATTTGTTTTTTTCGGCCAATTCTGTTGATATGGCGATGTCTGATTATACCCTTGGCTGCCGAATCTTCTCTAGTTAAAATTAGACCTTTCTATTTGACCATTATAATTGTACGTGTTAGATGCTCCGGATTTTGGGGCTTTATCTATTGTAACGGCTATTTTTTTCAATTCATCGATGGTGTCGGGGTTTCTATTCGGTGTATTAGTCAGCCAATAGTAGCTTGCCTGATATTGTTCATCCAATCCTTCACCAAATACATCTAAAAATTCCTTCATGTTCATATTGGCCTTATAATTGTGGTATAGTACCTGCAATTCGTATAAGTAATTTAACACGGATTCATTTTGAGCCTGTTTCCTTTCTTCAAATCTTCTCCTCACGCTAGAGCGGTGGCCCATGTCTTCGAATTCGGTTATGAAATCTTTACATAAGTCGTCCCAACCGTTGTTTTGATGTGCCGTTTTGAAACCATAAATTTGCGGCTCCGTCTAGGAAAGTTTCAAAGTAAGCGATTTTCACGTCTTCATCCCATCCATTCGCTATTGCTGTTCTCTCGTAGCTGTTGATGAAGTCCGTTGCATCGTTTTTACATGGATTATAGGTGGGTGGACTTAGGAATTGTGGCATTACTGCTGTCCTTCCTGTTGTTGTTGCGTTTTGGATAGTTATATTTGCCATTGCTATTGTCTGTGCTATTGTTTCACGATTTTCGTCTTCTGACGATGAATCGTCTTTGCTTTCGTCCTCTTCGCTATTTATTGAGATGCACGTAATTTCGAGGTCTTCGCTTAGTTTTGTGTCCTCGTATTCTTGTGAGTTTTCTTTTTCTCCACCGTCGCTATCGTAGGGTGCCTGTAAGTCGGCCTTTGAAGGTGCTCTTTGTAAACTTGTTTCCGGTTGGAAAACTTCGGCTACTAAAGCCTAGTTCTCATGGTGCGGGATTCCGCATTGCGGGTCCGGAAATCGCAGTTTTTTGAAAATCGTAATTTTTGATGGTTCACATGAAACGGAATTCCGGATGCGGTTTTATGTCAAATACATGTGATCTTAACCTAACATATTTTTTGTTTTTGTTTTCCTGTGTGCCTGGATGGATAATTATATTGCACAATTAAATTATTATCAATGGAAAAGACAGAGGGAGGTATGAAAAAAAACAAAATATCTGCTACTACGACAAGTAGTAGTATATTCTTCGTAGTGTTTACTTTAAAATGAAGTAGATAGGTACTACATTTCGAAACTACCGGAAATTAGTAAATCCTTTGTTGTGAAGTAAATACTTCGTAGAATATACTACTACCTGTAGAAGTAGCAAGTAAAATCTGTTTTTTTTTTTAAAGATAAAAGTCAAAATGACATTATGTTGGCAATACAATGTAAAATTGTCAATGCTTTCAAATTTTTTGTGCAGAAAAGGCTTGTGTTGCCAACAAAGTTACTAAATTTTTGACTTGGGGAATTATCTTTACAAAAAAAAACGTACTTGACTTCGTTTTTATTCAGACTACCACCCAATATACGTTAGTATTGGGTTTGATATTAATCCATAATATGCATGAAACTTCATCAAAGAAGCAGAATAGCAGAGGAATATTAAGAAAAGGAAGATGTTGTTCAGAAATATTCTTCTGAAAAGGCATGAACAAGGGGTTTGCCGTAATAATATGTATTTGAAAATAAAACAAGCACACAAGCAAGCAGATCAATTTATTTTTGTTAGGTATTAATTGTTTTATTGTTTTTTGTTTGAGGTTAGTTGTTAGTTTATTTGTTTATGTAGAAATCAAACAAAGATGAGAAATGTTTAGACAAAGACAGAAAAAAAAATCGCAAGAAAGTTGAACATGGTTCAACTTTATTGCGGATCCGCAAAAAAGTTGACGTTTTCCCGCCAACGGAATTATTTCAAAAATTCCGCACCCGCAATCCGGAATTCCGCATCATGAGAACTAGGCTTAAATCGTTTGTGATGCGGGTGCTTTCTGCGGCTGGATTTATGGGGGCTCCGGATTTTTCTGATGTAGTCTTTTTCCTTAAGTTGTACGTTGGCTTGCTCATTTAGGGTAAAAAAAAAATTGATTCTTTTCAGTTTCACAATTTTAATTCCTTCTCGGTAAATTGAATTATTTTATTTCATTTAAATGCCCAATAATCACTTTTTATTTTGGCCTCATTTCTTTTCTATGCTCGACGATGTAATTGCATCATGTTTTGGCTAAATATGTGGTTCACTTCCTATTTGGTTTTGCTTATGCAAGTAATACCAAAACATTTATTATCGAAGGTGTCGCAACTTAATATGGGATTTTTATTTTTTCGTGGTAGTAAGGGGATGAGGATAAAATCATTTTAGTTGGGGTTTCTTCGTTTTTGGTTCTTAGGTGCCCGATATGAAGATCAACACCTGGTTCTGCCCGGTGCCTCCACCATTTGTCACGCTTAAGTTGGTTGTGGTCAGCGGTGCCACCACTTTTACTTCGCTTGGCTGCGTCCACTAAGGGTTTATCTGAAAAGAGAGGATATGGGGGGAAGGAATACCACCACGAATATTTAATTTGTTTTATTACTAAACCTTAATTACACCTTATAGTTCAAGGAGATTTACCAAAATCCTAACACCGCAGATGTTCGTCCCTGGTGGGCCATGTTTTCGATTGTCAACTCGAAATGTAAGAATGTTTAATGTTTAATGTAACCCAAGATGCACTAAAAGAACGGGCCCCCTAAGGGCATAGTTCTCGTAGGTCTAAACTTGGGGACGCTGTGACACGGCTGCTATAGACGAGACCTTCATCCACAAAGTTTCACAGTCTCGACTATACCTAGTCGTACCCAGCTAAGAAGGCAGGTCTTTAGGCTCGTACCTTATCAGGCATAAAGCAGTCCAGACCAACCTTGCTTTGCCTTGCCGCAGTGCGTGAATTTATATTGAAATTATTGTTTTTAATAGTCCGGGGTGACCTCCTTTGGAAATTTACTTAATTTATGTAATGCGTGGGCTTGTGTACGTTTATGAGTTGAGATGTAAAAAACCAAAAACTATTTGAAATTGGAGATTCTCTATATTATAGTTTTATTTACATTTCATACACCTATGCCTACATACTACGCAAATTAATTACTTATAACTGAAGAACAAACCTAACTCGAAACCTAACTATACATTTTTTTTTTTTGACTAACAATAAAAATCTTGATTCTCTCTCAACAGTCCCCTAGGTCCTTCGGTGTACTCGCACAAGCCGAATTTCTTGAACAAAATACATTTAGTTTTGGGATTTCCCCATTTTCCCTTGAAACTCATCCAAGGAGGTATTTCAGTACGGCCGATATGGTAAAATTTAATGGAGGCCCAAGTTTTCCACGGCGTTCCATAGCCAGTTTTGTCAGTGATTTTCGGAACTCGGATAAATTCGTGGTCACCCGGTGTCGACCAAAGTCCGTGCGAACCTTCTGCTGCGAATAATACTGGATGACCACCTTAAAGAAAAATGTTTTTACTAAATAAATCTATAGGTCATCATCATATTTGGGCTATGGATACTGTCCAATATAATCCTAATTTTTCTATCCAACTTTTTTGTGGATAGACAGTTCTGGTGAACAGATTATCCGAATAACGAAAAAATAATAACGCATAAAGGATGATAAAATGCAAGAGAATTGATGAAAGAAGAAAACTGGTTGGAAATCGAATAACAACAAACTATAGAGAAATTATAAAAGAAAATACAAACAACTCTCAAAGAAGACAAAAAGATAAACAAGGGAGATTTTAAAACTAAGAGTCCGTATCATCAAAATTATGCCCTCAAAAAGTGAAAACGTGATAGAACAAATTGTTGGACGGATTTATTATTCTACGTCTGACCACTCCTCGACATAAATTGTCATAAGAAATGGCGAACGAATAACATATTCCCCTGTATCTTGCTTGCTGAGCAATAAGAAATTATTGAATTGATACAATACGGACGGCTTATCCATAACATCTACACTGAAAGTAAATACCAATCAGACAGGGACTTGGTAAATATCACCAAGACCTTTCACGCTAGAAGATGTAGGTATTCAACATTTTAGACCTCTAGACATATTTTGAAGAGATACACTGCAGTTGAACTAGTTGAAGGGACTCCATTGAAAACATCTCTTTGGAAAATATCAGCGCATACATCTATACCTAAAGGAGAGCACCATAGACAAGTTTCGGAAAGTTTTTATGGATCCTAAAAAATATCTTTACCTTGTAATCTGATAAATTCAGGAAATTTAGGAACTTGCGCCACACCTTTTCGAGGCATCTTGGAATCGAATTTGAAAATGTTAGTCGGTTTATCATAGGTGTAATAAGCTCCAGCATCGTGAACTGACAGGAACAATTGATCTGGATAAGAATTTCCAGAAAACGATAAGCTCATATGTTCCCAATCTCCGATATGATTGCCTAGTTTGCGATAATGCCCCAAGCATTTGCTAAATATTAGAGGTGCTGGAACTTTACCTGAAATAATTATTGTATATGTGAAAATGTTATTTAAAAAAAAATCAGTTCTTACCTAAAAAACAAGCATCTTTACCTTCGTTGAATGGATAAAACATCCAATAAGTAACGTGAAACGAAGGTAGCCAATCAGTTCTTCCAAAAATGTTGTTGCCAGTATCACGATAACTAGGCGAGTTGCAATAAGTCATCACGGCATAAATAGGAACTTTAGGGTAGATTTTAGGATTTTTGCCGTAAATAAATGATGTTCGATTAGATTTGAGTCTTTCTAAAAATAGTTGAAATTAAAGACAATATTCCTCTGTTATATATTCAATTTACCTAAGGGTCGATTTGGAACGAGAAAGAAATTTTTCAAATTGTACTGAAAAAATCGTACTGAATGTTTACTTTGCGTCAAAATGCTGCCTTGTTCATCAGCTATGTTTGTATTCTCTAAAAATTCTTCTATGTTGAGCGGCATATATTTTTCTTCTGGAGATAACCAAACTAAAGGGGCCCATTGTCGTATCAAGGCTTCAACTGAAAAAAAATTGCAATTATTATAATCACAAACTTTCTAGGACATGCCTATTTACTTTCTCATGTCTGTTTGTAATGACTACTGCACTTAACTGTGATTTACATAAGTATTATCAAGGATGATAATTAAATAGGTATATCTAAGTACTCTTTCATTTTTTACACATTTGAGAAATAAGAAATTTATTGCCAAAATTTTGATTGTGGTTTTTGCAATTAACTATAATTACACAATTTGTTATTAATTATCAGAGCATATCTCATAAATAGCTAAAGTGTATTTTGGTAATTTATAAAGATTTGAAGATTGGTAATAAATAGATTTCATAGGATTACCTACTTCGTTATGGCAATCCTATGTGCAAACTTCACCATTGCTCGTTCTTATTGCTTGCTAACTAGGGACAATAATTTCGAGAATGGGTTTTTTGACGTTATTTTCGAGTGCTCTTTATTGTTCTTGATAATCTATAGGTATTACATCGAAACTATCATGTTATGCCTAATTTCATAGGCAGTCAACTAGAGTTATATTTACTGATTTGTGTAACCAGGAAACTGAACAAAGGGTATTCTTATTCTTTTAATGATGGTATTTACTTTATTCAAAAGAATGTGTAGATTGCTTTGAACTACATATTTAAACATTTATTATACTTTCCTAAGATTTTATTTATTTATCAAGCACATTAATACCTACTCACTAGTCACTACACCTTTTCCGACAGTATTTTAGAAACCTTTAATTGTATTTTAGAATAGTCATTTGTATTTAAGAAATCTTCATATGAATAATGGAATAATAGTTATTTATACACCAAATGAATGTTTATTCATGAGAAGAAAGTTTAACTCACGAGCCCTAGCGAGTGGGTTATTTTTCTTCGAATGAATAAACATTTTAACTCACGAGATGTATACAAAATTTTATCTCATTTTGTGGAAATTTGAAAAATAAAGTACAAGAAAAAATGCCGGGAGTGAGTTAAAAATATTTTAAATCACTGAGGTTTCAGATTTTTAGTTGGGCAGAGTGACTTAAAATGCCGAGAGTGAGTTAAAATGTTTTTTACATCACTCAGTGATGTAATGAACTCTCATTACATCACTCAGTGATGTAATGAGCTCTCATTACATAACTCAGTGATATAATGAAAGCTCATTACGTAACTCATTTTTCCTCGTTACTGTAATGAAGCTCATACCATACTAGTAATATAAATAACTATTAAAACGCATCATTTATGTTTTGGAATAATCACTTAAATTGGGAAATGCATCAAATGTATAGAAAAACTAATTTAATTTAAGAGAGGAGCAAATAAATTTTTGAATCAATAATTTAACTTGGGAAACCGTCATTTGTATTTTAGATCAAACCATCAAACCATAAATGTATCCAAGAAAGCTTTAATCGTAGTTTAGAATAAGGTACACTGAGAGAATTAATTTTAGACCGCTATCTAGACCAAAATTTTGGGGAGGGTTAGACAAAGTGGCAAAAAAAATTGTTACGCTAGTAATAAAAATAAAAAAAATAAAAAACTGTTTAATAAGTGTTGTTTGTTTTTAAGTTAAATTTTTTGAATTTTATTATTTTTTTGGGGGGAGGGGGTTTGAACCCCCAAAACCCCCCCTAGATACGGCCCTGTTCTAGGCTGAGACTCTGTAACGGATAGAGATCGTTATCCCTATCGCTATTGCAGTCGCCGTCTTCTTTTCTCTTATCGAAATCAATGGAGAGGGGACGTCAATAGAGATAGAGAGAATATCTCTATTCGTTACAGAGTCCCAGCCCTGGGGCCTTATTCTGTAAAGAACGAAGCGTTCGATTCGGTAGAATTTCTTCGACTGTGACGTCATTTTCGGTTTGTTAGCGCGGAAGCTATTCCGAAAATGCCAAAAATGACGTCACAATCGAAAAAATTCTACCGAATCGAACGGTTCGTTCTTTACAGAATGAGGCCCCTGGGCTGGAACTCTGTAACGGATAGAAATCATTATCCCTATCGCTATGGCACTTGCTGTCTTCTTCTTTCTTGTCAAAAGCAATAAAGAGGAGACGTCAATAGATATAGAGAAAATATCTCTATTCGTTACAGAGACCCAGCCCTGGTTACCTATGGGAAAATAATAGTTATTCATGTCATAAGTCCAAGAAGAAGGTCTTTGTGTGATTCACTCAATTGTACAATTCAAACATTGAGCTCATCACAAAAAGAGATATTTTCTCTATCCCTATTGACGTTCCCTCTCTATTGATTTCGATAAGAGAGAAGAAGACGGCAAGAGCCATAACGATCGGAATAACGATCTCTATCCGTTACAGAGTCTCAGCCGGACCCATCCCAGGCTACGTTGAAGTGAAAGGTGAATCATAAAAAAAAAACACAAAAATGCCTACAAAAACTTTATTTTTAGAAATAACCCCATCATATGCTAAACCATTAGAATGGTGATAAAATTCTCTATTCAATGAGGATAAAATTAGGTATAGTTTTTATTTGAAAAAACATAAGTTTATGTCATATGTCAAAAATGACAGGTTTGACAGAAAAACTATTTATGTCATTTTATTGAGAATAAAATTTCCTAATACTTTTGTATTTACCATTTTCTTCCAAAATTAATATTTACTGAACTAGGAGCGTTTTGAGAAATCGCCAAAAATCAGTTTTTTTGAGATATCTATTGACAGCTGATAAATTTTGGCAAACTTAAATTGGTTATGAGTTGAGCTTACAATACTGCAATTCTTTGCTAATTTGAACTTTTTCGTATCTGCTATATTTTCCAAGATCTCCATACTAAACATCGAAAGAGACTCACCCGTATGTATAATAACTACTTAAGTATATAATTTCAAAAATACCACTTGGAAAAAGCAGAAGCGGTAATAAGAGAGTTTTCATTTTTAATTTATATTTTCTCAAAAAGGACTCTTGTTTTTCAAAAAAAAAAAGAATGCAGAAAATCCTAGCTTCAGTTGATTTGTGCAATAATTCCAAATCTGAAAATTAGTGAAAGCATTGAGGGGGTTATATTTATACCTTCTTCTTCTTCTTCTTTCTTGGTTATGGCTTCTGCTCCTATTAGGGCAATTTCGCCAGCACATTTGGGTTGGTCCGGAAAGCCGTCTGGCTCAGGGCCATGTTCCGAACCAGATTCGATTCAATCTCTTCTATCTTCAATTTTTTTATGTTGAAGGCACATCCAGGATTTGCCTAGATCAATCGCTGAAACCGGATATAACCTTTTCTGTCAAAACAAACAGCGTTTTCACAAGTCTCGGACTCTGGCCGCCATCTTGCCAACGTAACCACGCGTGAGCCTTCTGTTTATCTAGGAATCTAAGCCGGCTTAGTCAAAAAGACGCAAACAAATCCACGGATGGCGATGAATCTCGGTTTTTACTCGCGGAGGTGAGACAAAATTTGGTCTCTACACGCCTCTAGTGCACCACCCGGTGAAGCTCTTTGAGCTCCTTAAACCAACCGCCCACACTCTGGCGAGGACAAAACGAGACTCATATTTATACCTACTCATAGCTCACCTTCGATAAATGACTGTAAGCCCCTCTTGAAGGGCAACTTTATACGCCATTGTCAGACCAGTGCCAGTGTAAATCCAAAATCCAATGTTATAAGCAGGCGCGGATCCAGACCCAAATTAAGGGGGGGGCCATACAAAATATTGCGAAGGACAGGATGTCTGGTTATAATCTGACCTTTATAGGTAGATGTTAGGTGTAAAGAGTAAACACAAAATTGGTGCAGTTTTAGTTAAAGAAATTTGGCGTACTTTAATTTTTTTTCAAATAGAATACCCTATATTTAATTCTATATTCTTGAAGAGCACAATTTTTCGATTCGAAAGTGGTGAAATTGGATGACAATGATAAAAGCGGCACAAAAAGGTTACCCAGATCCTCAAAATTTCAATTATATTGGATAACACGTTCCAGAGTTATTACCTGGGAAAAACGTCATGGGACACACTGTAGAATCAAATATAGGGCATTTTATTTTGAAAATTTAAAAGTAACAAAGGACCCCGCACACCTCTTATGGGTTTTTGGTTTTCTGTCAAACTCAATGAAATTTTGATATGTGATAGACCTTGACTTCCTGATAAAAAGTTCTCATGGGCTCGAACCAATCCTATGATTAGTTTTTGAGATACAGGTACTTTAATGTCCAAGAAATGTACACATTTTATATGTTTTCACATCTACCTGTCACCTAATATTAGGTCTGTTTCTGCAAAAATCACAAACCCGTCAGAGCGAATTTGATTGGTCGAAAACAGTCAGAAACAGTCAGAAAACTAGTTTCAACAAATAAAATTCTTTCTGACTGACCTATTAATAGGTGGCAGGTAGATGTGAATGCATATAAAATGTGTACATTTCTTGGACATTAAACCACCTGTATTTCGGAAACTATTCATAGTATCGGGTTGGGCCCATGAGAACTTTTTATCAGTAAGTCAAGATATACCACATATCAAAATTTCATTGAGTTTGACAGAAAACCAAAAACCCATTAGAGGTGTGCGGGGTCCTTTCAAATTTCTAACAATAAATTTTTGTTTCTGAGGATGGATTCTAAAAATTTAGTTAAAACTGCACAACTTTTGTATTCACACCTATCATCTACCTGTGTAGATAAAGGCTACAGGTGGGTTGTCAAACGATAACCAGACACCCTGTATATACAAATAGAATAGGCTAGAGGTCTGTGAATTGTGATAAAATGACTCCGTGAAATAAAATTCTGTTATATACGGGCCCTAGTAAACTCGGAAAAATTGGTCGATTTATTGTTGATTTTCAAAATATTTTTTTCCTATCTAGGGGGGGCCATAGCCCCCATGACCCCTCCCTGGATCCGCGCCTGGTTATAAGTGATAAATAATTCAAAAGAGTTTAAATAATTCACCAACGGCACCAATAACGCACTAACTAATCAACTAAATCAACGCTTACAGCAAAAACTGGC